TATATCCAATTCATCGAGGGTAGTTATTAACAACTCTTAACTATTAGTCAAGTATAGAACACCGCCATATACCGACTTGATAGTAGCATTTAATCTCTTAACTCCTTGATGAAATCAATTGAGATTGATAATCTCAACACAACGGTTTCGGTTTAACCAACAAAATTAATCTCTCTTAAGTTTATTAACCACGACCGTGCATTAATAAACCGAAGTTACTTACTTGTGAAACCATCAAAGATTAACAAGCGTATTCGTCGATCAATTCTGGTAATAATTAATATATATGAAACAAAACTAGTTGATCTTTAAGTAATGTTCAAAATATTAATATGAAATATGAATAGGAATTAATTAATATTCAAGGAAGAATATTAAAGATGATAAATCCTACTATAACTAATGTCAAGATGTTAACTAATTGTCATCTTACCAACACTCCCAAACATTAATATATGGAGGAAGAAAATAAATACTACTATAACTAATGTCGAGATGTTAACTAATTGTCATCTTAGCAACACTCCTCAACATCAATATATAGATAGATTAAGGGAAGAATTAATATTCAAGGGAAGAAGTTAAGAAAATAACTCACAACTTTAATAATCAACAAGCTTCAAGAGCAACACCAAGAAATGGAAGTTTAGCTCCTCATTTGGAGACTAAACATACTATAAAAATATAAAAGAAATACTATTCTAAACTGAGCTTAAGAGTATGGAAGATGGAATGATTCTTTGTGAAGGAAAAGTGTGCTATTTATAGGTGTTTTTCAACACATTGGGCCGGGTACCCGACCGGGTCAAGTGCCCATCTGACCGGATGCATGTCAAAATCAAATAATCTTCCACATTCTTGTGTTTCAGCACGTCGTTTTGTCTCAGGTCATATCTGACCCGACCGGGTCAAGTAGGGGACCCGACCGGGTCCAGTGATTTTCTAGGAACTTTTGCTTTTTAAATCGTACCCGACCGGGTGAGTATTCCTACCCGATCGGGTAAGTGTCCCTGAGCAGCATTTCTCTTGTTTTTCCTCCTTTTCCTTGCCAAAAACTCTGCCACTACTTTACAACTTATAAATGGAAGCTAAAAACAATTACAAACCAAATAAAACAAATGTTTACAAACTAATAAAAATGGTAAGCAATACTCACAAATCAAACATAAAAATATACATTTATGCACTACTAATTAGTGCATATCACTCTTACCCTGAGAATGCCTTTCTTCAATCACTTCTTCCTTTCTAATCATTGAAGCAATATAGTTGGTTACTTTACCTGTTTTTGGTAGTGAATGCTGAAACTTTAGAGTGGATTGCTCTACATGCTTCCTTTTGCTCGTTGTTCCAGAATTAGGAACTGGATGAATAGAAGCACGAGATGATCCTTTTGTGCTAGGATCCTCGTCCAATTCATCATCTAAATCATCCAATTCAACACCCACTTTCACCTTATCCTTCATTTTGCTCTTTATATAGTTGCCTATCAAAGTTCTAATTTCTGGAGTTGTTTTCGTGCATTTTTCAACATTCCTTTAACTACCAACTATGTGTTGCTTCAATCGTTTAACTCCGTAATGGACCCGTCTATCACAAAGTGAGTATTACACCAAATCTTGGTTATTCTATCTTGTCCGACCAAAAATCAAACTCCTATCGGGATCATTCGATTTGGGTTTTCGGCTAGGATCGTTTGATGGATCCAAAGATTCATTTGTGTTTGTTTCTGGATCAGCCATGTTAAGAATTGTTTCAAAATTTTATTAAACATAAAATAAACAACTGAAATTTCACCAACATTGTAAAAAAATTAAATATAAGACAATATAAATTTAAGTTAAGACACCAAAAATATTATGAAATATAAAATAAAATAAAAACAACTTAACTGAGATTTCAGTTAAGACACCATTCTAAACCCTAAATCAGCTTTCAATAGCCTCCTTCTTCTTTTATTTTCGAGTTCCAAGAGCAAGTAGAGAGAGAAAGCTTCAATCATCCATAACTTCTTCATTTTAGCTCCAAATTGTAAGTTCTTTATATGTATTTTCATCTTCTCAACGAGTAGAATCTGAATATGTGCTTTGTTTGTTCAAGACACCAAAAACATTATAAGAAAAACTGCCATTTGTTTTCATAAAATTGAAACAATTGAAACTTTTCCTAAAAAAGTAACAATACAAACTTTTCAAAAATTTTACGACTTTTAAAACATTACACAGTTCAACACAACATTAAATACAAAGCATGCAACTTTAAATACAAATCGTACAAAGCATAGGATAACTGACCACAATATTAGAGTAACGGAATGGGGGAGGGCTAACACACCCTTGGAGCTGTCACCAATGGGCGGGCATTCATGCCCTTAAACTTTTTTTGTGTGCAAAGAGCTTTAAAATGTTTCATAGGAGGGCAATTGCCCCCTTCACTCATGGAGTCGCAGTGAACCAATATGACGGAACTAGCAATTGCTAAGTTGCTCCTTTAAATTAATTTTATTTATTTGCTAACTAATTTTGTAAATTAGTTGACAAATATGAAATATAAATAAAACAATTAGGAAATAATCCATATTACGAATAGAGCTAGCAACCCCATTTGTTAATCAAGCTATTATAAATTATTTATTTTAGCTAAATTGTTTAATAATCAAAATAAGTATGATTGAAATTACTTTTCTGATTATATCAACTCAAATGATTTAAATCCAACTATTTTATCCTTTTCATCTGATTTTTTCTTTATAATACTCAAAGCCATCAAGAAAGAGGAGCCATAAATTAATATTCACCTTTAAATTTTACTTTCACTTTTGTGTTTTGCATTTAAATGTTCTGAATTGTTATTTATGTTTTTATTATTTTGTTTTTCAAGTAGATTATTATCGTTAGCAAGAGGTTATATCAATTGTAATTGTGATATCATAAAATTGAAGTATGTAGTTGTTCCAAAAAGGTTGAATCGCCAACCCCAAGCGCCCCCCACACCCCGACCCGTATGTAGTTGTTCTGATTTTTTCTTTATAATACTCAAAGCCATCAAGAAAAAGGAGCCATAAATTAATATTCACCTTTAAATTTTACTTTCACTTTTGTGTTTTGCATTTAAATGTTCTGAATTGTTATTTATGTTTTTATTATTTTGTTTTTCAAGTAGATTATTATCATTAGCCAGAGGTTATATCAATTCATTCAATTGTAATTGTGATATCATAAAAATTGAAGTATGTAGTAAGATTAGCAAGTGGCATTTAATAAAATGAATAATTCTAAGTTTCCGAACAGATTTTCTCGAAAATAGTTTTTCTACTTTTCAACTAATTTGCGTCTCCGAATTTCACTTTTACTTTTAGATTTTAAGCCTATGTTCATAATAAGAGCTTTATAAGAGCTACATAGTATAATGCGGGAGATCAAACTATTAAAATCAAGAGCCCAATCTATCAATTCATGCAAATAATTCGGCTGAATGGAAATAAAATGGATAAGAGCTACGTAATATAAGATATTATCCCATCAAAATATTAAAATTAAAATTAAGGCTATTGCACGTTAGTTTATCTACATAAAGGATAAGAGTGTATGATATTATCTATATATATTTTAGAAATCACTTCAAATAGGACTAAAACTATGACAAAAAATAAAAAATAAGAATTTTTTTTTAATTTTTTTTTGAAAATCAATAAAAAATAGTAAAACTCCATAAAAAAAATAAAAAGAATATGGATACCTTTCCCACCGCCTGTACTACCTCCCTGAACCACCACCTCCGATTGGTGTAAAAAATGCCACTTTTTTAAAAATTCCAAAAAAAATGGCATATTTCTCTATGAGAATGCCAACTTTTTCATTCGGCCAACTTGAATCCTTTTGACTTTTGCAAAAAATATGGCATTCATAATTTTTTTGGCATTTTTTTGCCCCGGTGACAGGAGGTGGTGGTACCGCCTCCCTGCACCACCACCTCCGACCGTTAAAAAAATGCCATATTTCCTACAAACTTCCATTTTTTCGGAAAATGCCAAAAATATGGCATATTTCTCTTTGACAATGCCAACATTTTTTTCTACCATCTTAAATCATTCTGAATTATGCCAAAAATATGGAATTCATAATAAATTTGGCATTTTTTCCCCAAATGACTAGAGGTGGTGGTGCAGGGGCGGCAGAGGCGGCGGTGACAATTTTTTTATTATAATTTTTTTTTAATTTTTTTTAATTTTATTTTTATTTTTTTTGTTTATTTTTTTTTAAATTTATTACTATTCAAAATATTTTTATTAATTTTTTGGTATATTTTACGAATTTTTATTATTTTTTATTATTTTATTATGAATTAAAACATTCCAATAGGTATAAGGGTATATTTGTCCAAGACACACATAATTAGTCCTATAGAAACATAGTTTATTTTTTGGTCCTATTTGTGCAAAGTGAATGACTTTTAGTCCTATTTTGATAATTAATTCTATCTTCTATTATACAAAAGAAAATTGAAATATGAACAGTGTTCCCACCCAAAAAACGGGTCAATATATGTGTCAAATATGGGTCAAAAGTATGGGTCAAACGGGTCTGAAAAGTTGGCTCAACCACTTTTGCAAAGAAGTGACAAGTTGGCTCAAGTGGTCATAAGAAATTAAGAATGGGTACGACATTATTATTGGATAAAGCAAAAAACTGACAGCCATTCTACCATAGGTTATTTAAAAAATATTTATAGTACAACAAAGCCAACATGGGTACAATCTTTTAGTGGCTCAATAAAAATCTTTTTACTGTGTAATTACATTAAATGCATTGTACTACTGCATCATAGTCCTTATTTGTGCATTTCGAATACATAGGTTTCTTAAGTGGAGTAAGGGTAGATATAAACATTAAATGCAAAGTACATGTGTACTACACAACAATAAATGATCTGTACTAAAAATCTCATTCTAAAGATTGAGTTCGAATGAACCATCGGTTAAAAACCCAATGATACCATATCAGACCATGTATGATGGAACTATAAATACGAGCAATGCAATCACAATCACATGAAGTGCAGTTTGGCTATCAAGGCCAGTGTTGTTCGAGCTTATGACATTCCACCCCATTCCAGGGGTGGGGAAACACAACAAATGATCTTGCTCGCTGAGGAGGTAATGCTTTCGTACACATTCTATTGATCTTCCCGTCAGTATCTAGTGAATCTAAATATTAACACTACAAGAAAATAGATCATTTACCCACACTCATATGTGTAGGTAAAACAATAGGTATGTGTAGGTAATAATATTTACCCACACATATTATAAGTGTTACCATGTGTGGGTATGCAATCGTAGGCAAATGTTATTAGCTACACATACAATTATGTGTTGGTAATTCTACTGTTTATAGCTACACATGTATGTGTAGCTAAAACATTTTTAAATGTGTTGTTATTGATCATTTGAGCAAACAGCCGGTGACACGGCATATGATGTGGAAGTACACGTGGCTGCTAACGTGACATATGACGTGGAATTCCGAGTGTGACGTGTATGATGACGTGGCATATTGATCACTCTTGCCGTTGCCACGTGGACATAAAGATGTGTGGGTAAAACTTATGTGTATGTGTGGGTAAAGTGTTTTTAAACGTGGGTAATACGACTTGTTTTGTAGATAAAAGTATATTTATTTTGTGGGGAAAACTTCTATGCATGTGTAGCTATTAATATTTATGTGTTGATAAAACTATTTCAATAAATATTATATTTATTAATTAAATACGTACACATATCAAACAATTACATTTAATAGTAATGAACATTGGAATTAATAATAAATAATAATGATAAATGTCATAGTTCAAACTAAAATATTCAGTTTTAGCAAAGTACGGAGTATTAGTTATTCAATACAGTAAAAAAAATAAAACATTAACTAGCTAGTCAATATCATCATATTCAGATGTCGAGTCCTCATAGCCGTTAACATATTGGCCTCGAGCAGTACAGGATGACCCACAATTAAGCAGTCCTGAACAGTGATATAAAGGAACATGTGACGTGGGAGATATAATATTCTTCTCAATCAACAACTTTTTAATCATTTCAACAGTGCCTGAAAGCTCTCCAACACGATCCAACAATTGAGTATAAATGGGGATATTTGAATCCCATCTACTTCTGTTAGACCCAGTGGGAAATTGTCCCCAAGCAAATAGACGAACAAATTCCCATCCAAGCACCTTCTCTAGTAGTTGTTCATCAGTTAACTCTTCAGGTGATTTTTCTCTTCTCAACTCCATCATTTCTTCTTGTTAAATTATGAATGAAATAGCAACAATTCATTAATGGGATAAACTATAAACATCAGAACATGTATGTGTATCATGTCAATAATAATGTAAACCTAGTTATAATTTGAATAAAAGCGGTCATGGGCACCATTGAATAAAAGATGTGAACATAAATTGCAACCAAAGAAATTGTTACTTCAGCATCCTAATCTGGGCCTTTTCATGCATCTGGTTGTCAAGATAGTTTGGTTGAGTGGATTCAGACACATGTACTTAGCAGCAATTTTACAGATGTAGAAACTCATCAGTTTCCTCAATAATGGTTCCAAAAGGATACATGTGGCTCCTTATCTATTCAATCCCCAACCATTTGATGAGAAAACGAAGAAAACTTTCAGTAACTATTACTCCGTAAATACAATATCTATCTCCTCCTGAAGCAATAGTGGCCAATGATTGATGAACTTCTTTCATATACATTCTCGAGTAGAGATGCCTAATTATTTATTTCACAACACTTATAAATAAACAGTTTCTTGAATGAAAAAAAAGAATAAAAGATGCCATGATCTAACACACACTTTGTGAAGTACACTTACATATTTAGATACCCAACCACGCTTTGGATGCCAATCACACAAATATTCCCAATCTGGTTTGCTAACATCTAGATTCACTACATTACACCGAAGCCTATTATCCATTTCATCATTATCCAAATTAGTAATGTCTTTCTCATTGACATCCCCTTCCGTGTCATAGGACTCGTTATCTTCGCCATTTCCATCCGTAAGTTTCACCCCTACACGCATAAAGTCATTAAGAAGATAATGAATCGGGATGCAAGTTAAGCATTAAGTAATTATATTGAAGTTACTAAAGAAATAAAATATTAAGTAATGAAGCCAACTATTTTGTTAATTAAACTGTAAATACGTAATGAAGTAAACTGATTCTTAAGCTAAATGATAATTGTAAAATGAAAACAAATAAATAATAAAGTTAAATGAAAAGTGTAAATGATAAGTTCAATTTTTAAGCCAGTAAATATGAAAAAGTTGAAAATATGAAACTTTAAGTACCGGGGTAGTTTAAAAGTGTTAAATAAAAGAAACAAAACAAAACACAATAAGTAACTAAAGAAGTTAGGAGGTGAGATGGGATAATTACCTTGACAGAACAGCTCCTCAAGTAAGTCTTTGTCTTGAAGCCTTCGATTAAGAGAGAGTTCCTGAAGTAGTTGGTTGTAACGAATGCAAGGCGTCTAAGAAGCGAGTACCTACGGTTGTCAACTAAGAGAACGACGCTCGATTGTATACTAACAACTTTAAGGTATATGTTATTTTAGAATTTAAGAGGAAATCTTAAAAAAAAAAGAGGCCCATGCATCATCTACGCCTTACACCCACCGCTTTTCGCCTCTACGCTTTAGCGCCTCAGCAAATGAAGGCATACGCCTTATTACTGGCCTGCAAGGCTTAAGCCTTATAGACATTTCAATAACAACCAACACCTAATTTTATGCAACTGATGAAAGATTGAGATAGACAAACTACTAATTATCGATAACTAATTACCCCGAATTTTCTTTAAGCAAATAATAAAACAAATCTATGTGTCAAAAGAGATAAACAGATCACTCAGGTTACTTAGTGTTATCACCAATGAATGTAGTATAAGCCAACTGTCTAAGAAAGTCCATATAAAATCAATCTAAATGAAGTTTAGAGAAACTTGCATGATCTAAAGATTATATGTTGTTGCGCTAGACAACCTTTACCTTATATGCCTGTCACAAATTCATCTTTGTTGCACTTAGAGCAACTAAAGTAGAATCTTTATACGGCAATCTTTAGTCTTGATGTTTGACTTTATATGAAAAAAATAACACTAAACATGATTGGAATCCATATTTTTTATACATGCTTATGTCGTAAAGAAGTTTTCAATCTCCGAATTAGTCATTTAGCTCTCAAAATAAAGCTTTTAAGACATCAATATATCATTGGGCCTTTAACTTGAAAATAATGTGTGCAGATTGGGATTAGTATGAAAAATAATGACTTTATGAGTAAGAATGTGAATTTTGAATACAAAATTCAAAACATTAATCATAAACCCTCATCTGAATAAACTATATTAATTTCGTCTACCACAAATATGAAACCTTAAAGTCTTATACGGAGATTAAAGTATACTGACAAATTTGAAACTGAAGTGGAAAGGAAACCAAAAAATACTCGATAAGATGGAAGAGTTGTAGTAAGTAGAGTGAATGAAAAGAATTACTCCCTCCGTCCCGAATTGTAAGATAGTTTACGGTTTACGATGTTTGACCCACGATAAATCAAACGGATCTTTGTCCGCACTCAAATGATTTTTCAAAAAAAAATTACATATTCAGAAACTACATTAAAATCTTTGCAAAGTCGCAAAAATCACAATCTAATTAGATAAAAATTTGATATATAAAGTAAGAGATTAAGAGTAATTTGTGTTGACCAGGTGAATAGAAAAGATATCTTACAAAATGGAACTGAGGGAGTAGTACTCTATAAGATGTAGAAGGTGAGATGGGAGGAAATCATAATCCTATGAACCGGGTATCTCGGGGTTTTTCGGTCCTGCTCTGAACCAAATAGGATTAGTTTACTTTAAAATACATTAGTTCGGGTTATAATGTTATTGTTTTAACATGCATCATGTGTGTAGGGAGAAATGAGATTCAATCTGGACCATTGGACTGTATTATCTGAAATTGAATTGTGCATTTTATCAAAATATACAACAAAAACAACATCCAAACATTAATTCTAAAAGAATAAATATTAATTTTAAAATGTAATTCATAAATTAGTCCTTGCAATTTTTAGGACATCGTAATTTCATATACAATTAAAGATTAGAGAATAATTTTAAATACAAAGTTTTAACATGTTAATGGTGTATATACTACGTCCGTCACAAATTGATTTGCAAAGTTAGATTTTTTTTGTCATACAGTTCGATTTTATTTACTTAAGTAGGATATCCATTTTTAATTATATTCTAATTTAAATTGTGCAACTTTATAGAGATTTGAATATAATGCAGTTTCCGAACATGTTAAAATTAATTACTAAATTAATTATCAGTAAAGAAATTTAACTTTACTATTGGTTATATACACACACACACACACACACACACACACAAGAGATATTAAGATATATTAGGATGCAATATTATCCTATAATTCTACGATTTGTGCATGTTGCCTTTTGAGAAAGTCGATACCTGAATTCATACTAAGAAAACATCAAAGATTTATGTTGCGATACATGTTCAGGCTTTCATGTTTGGGGGTCAGTATACTTATTTTATATTCTTAGATATTTGATATGAAGGATGCCTATATCTATGTAGTAAATTATAGAATTATATTTCATATTTCTAATTAAGATAATTGAGTATGAGCAAAGTCTATTTAATTGATAGTTACCGACAAAGTTATTATTATTATCTTTCGTATGAAACCGATATTGCATATGTAAAAATAAAAATAATCTAAAATACAGTTGATGGAGGTTCTTGGGCTCAAAGTTTTCTTGCATGGATCCAAGTTCTAAAATTAAGTGGATCCAAAATTTTCTGAAGTGGCTCAAATCTAACACTTCAGGCAATAAATAAAATTCCTCCATTAATCGTATATTTAGATTTATTTTTATATATGCAATATTTGTGTCATACGAAAGATAGTAATTAATTGTGAATTTTTTAACATTTTTTGGTAAAAATAAAATTATAAAAATTTAAAGTTATAGCAATTTCAAAAAAGTTTAAAATATTTTTAAGTTTGTCCTAGCTTGCGTTATCTATGTTTTCTCATTTTTGAAAAAGTCCTAACTGAGTTACGTTTTTTAATTGATTCAATTTGAATTGTTATTTTTAAATAAATGGTTTATAACTTAATATGCCTTTATTAACGCTTCAAGTCAATAAACAAAATGTCTCCTAATTGTAGCATGAAATTACATTATACAATCATGATATCTTAAATTTTAAAGTTTGGATCTATTTAAGAAAAGTTTTGAGCCTAAAACCCCCCATCTATCATATGTTTAAAATTATTTTTATTTTTGCATATGTGATATTAGTGTCATATGAAAGATAATAAAAAATTATGAAATTTGATATATTTTTTGTAAAAAGTTAATCACACATAAAAAAGATAAATCAAATTAAAAAATAAAGAGATTTTTTAATATTAAAAAAACACAAAGAGATTTTTTTGGTTGAAGTCCATCAATTTAGTGCTCGTATGAAAGAGAGAATTATTTTTTGGTAGCCAACATAGCAGCTTAAAAACGTAATAACAATTCTAATCATAATCCAACTTAAATTGTAATCTCACGCATTATAATTAATTGATATACCAAATTGGAAAGAGAATTTAAAAGATACTTGCTTAGAAGATGACACATGGCAAAATTTTCCCTAAATGTATCTTTAAAACATATTATGTATAGACATCCAAATATATTAATGTTTAGTGTTTATGTATTTCTGGTATAAGACTAACAAACACCGAGCTGTATATGAATTTCATGTTGGCGTAGTGGAAGTGCACTCGGCAAGACCATTTTTTTGGGGAGACCTTTTTTATTTTTTCAAAGTAACACTAGGCAATTTTTTTGGCTAAATGTTTTAAACTTTAAATTTTTCTTTCCACATTATCTTTGTCTCACACGGAAGAATTGAAGATGGGGCCAGGAGGAATCTTCCTTCCAAGATATATATATTTAAATTAAGAGGAAAAGTTCATGTCAGGCCGGCCTGACGGGCTGCTCCTTCCGGCCGAGTCCGTTTGGGCACCTTCCCGGTAGAATTTTTTGATAAAATTTTTTGAGAATGTTCCTCATCAAGTCTAGTTTGTTCATACCAAATTTCAGCTCAAAATTCGATCGGGAAGGCATTCAAATCATTTTTTTTTTAAGTTGACTGCAGTTTTGTATATATATTTTGACGCAGTCAACTTCAAAAAATGATTTGAATGTCTTCCCAATCGAATTTTGAGCTGAAATTTTGTATGGACAAACAAGACTTGATGAGGAACATGCTTAAAAAATTTCATCAAAAAATTCCACCGGGAAAGTGCCCAAACGGGCTCGGCCGGACAGAGCAGCCCGTCAGGCCGGCCTGACATGAAGACCACTCATATACTAGATCTCTAATTAGTTGGACTTTTGAATATTGACCCGAAAAATTAATGAGTTCATTTCATTGGACTTTTAATTATTGGCCTGATAAATTAATTAGTTCAATTCATTTGGCTTTTGAATATTAGCATGAAGATTAATTAGTTCAATTCATTTGGCTTTTGAATATTGGCCTGAAAAGTTAATTAAGTTTAATTCATTGTGCTTTGTTAGTGAAATTTAAGTAGTTCATTTTTTACCGTATAGACTATAGATTCAAAAGAAATTTGATTTCCAAGAAATTGAACTAAAAATTTGTACTGAACATTTCAGTAATTGAGTCAATTTCATTTTGATATCTATGACCTTAAGATAATTAAATTGTCGGTTCGTAATATTTTTTTCTTTGACATTTCTCTAATATTATTTAACTACATTTTGTCATTTTGACATATTTTTGTAATATATGTTATTTAATTACATTTTGGCCCCACCTCAAATCAAATGCTAGATCCGCCCCTGTTCATCCCACTTTGGTACCCTTAAAATAATTTGGGTTGAAACTCTTTTGGGGCGTAAAATGATCACGAGACTGTTTGGCAACACTGTTTTTCGGTTTATCAGCCAACTTTTTTACCAAATACGTAAATTTGGCTTTCACGCGCTGAATTGTGTGATAAGCAGAAAAGGTAAGGTTGAAGTTACTTTCCTGGCTATATTGGCTGAAGTTACTACAGATGATCATTTTATCTATTTTTACACACGGAGTATAATTTTTTTTTATTTTATTAATAAAATATATTTTAAAATTATTTTTTTCTTAAATCGGCAGAATCAGCCAATGCAACAACTTTAGCCAAAAATTCATAAATTTCAGAGCTGATTTTCATACTACCAAACGGGCTCCACATATGACTTTTTCACCCTAGAATTGCGGACAATCTTATCTTTAGAAAATGTTTAATAAATATTTTAGGACTATTCTACACAATTGACTCCCGTTTTGTTTTGGCGCTAACTTCATAGGGAAGATTTCTTTTGATATTATATTAGAATTAGAATAGATTTATGACAAAAGAACAACACACCCTAATTTTATCACCACTTCTTTGTTTAGAATGGAATTATATCCTCCGTAGTATAAGGTTAGTCTAATTTATAAATATGTGATTTTAAAATAAGAAATTTATTTATTAATTTATTAATTATCAACACTTCCATGCACGCTTAGAATGAAATTTTGGAATATTTCTACTGTGTTATGATTTTGTGAATATTTCTGAATTATGAGTTGTGAATAAGAAACGTTGATGCATGCGTCATGCTATCAAATTTCTTGGGTATGAATTAAGATACAATCGTTCACAATATTAAATAGAAGTATAAAATATTGTTGTTATATATATGTTGGTACTTGGTAACCAGCCTATATAAGAGAGCTTTAAATTAACCGGAGCTAATAATTACCGTAATTTACATAGATCATACTTTACAAAAGAGAAAAAGGGTAATAATGTGGCCTAGAGAAGACGGTGGATATTTCGTCAAGGATAACTGGCAGCCGTGGGTTCACGTGGAACGACTATTTGAAGAACGACAATATAGGATACTTTTGCTGTTGCCGAATGGTTTGCCAGGTAATGGTTTAATTATTTTTTATTATTTATGATTATTACTCAAATAATTCTTAATATATTACTCCCCACTAGAATAAACATGATGGACAAAATAGTGACAAGGTAATTTATAATGAATATATGACCATGTTCAATTTGGAGTGATCATGAAAATGCACTCATAATAATCACATTTTTATTCATGCTATTTCACTTTAATAATACTTTCGGAAAAACTTCAAGAAAAAATAAATTACCATATTCACTCTAGTCCAAGAATTGTTCAATAAGACAATAAGTCTGAACCTTTAAAGAACGTACCCCATCAAAATGTTTGTAGCTTTGTTTGGTTTAATTTCTAGCGTTTCTGATCTCTGCCCTTTGGTTTCTAGCATGTTTTGGGTAAAACACAAATACCCAAACAACCCAGTGTTATGCGAATGTGTGAATTGAATTCTTTTAGAAATATGTTTTACACGCCAAGAGCCATTTAACAAATTCAAGCAAATAAATCCCTTAGATATTTTTTGAAGGGTTTTTACAAGAATATTACTAAAATAAAAACTTATTTACATAAATATGACCATTCATTACTACAACGTAGTGGTGTAGTAACTTAAGTTCAAAATTTGAACATTAATTACTATGATTTCATTACTACTCTAGTAACTAATCATATTTTTATAAACCATCTTTATTTTGATCATATTTATGTAATTATTTCTTCTTTGAAACATTAGCTAGGCCGGTTTAATCATATATTTCTCCAATTTTCTGTTTTTGTTTTCCAAATTTCCTCTCTTTTCCATTATTTCATTTTTCGAAATCATATATACAAAGTACTAAAGTAGTAACTATATATACATTGAGGAATTGAAACTAGTCGAATAGGAAAAAATGATAAATATTACCTGACACCACTACAAAATTATTAATATGTGTGCATAATGCAAAATAAAAGACTCGTAATTAAAAGTATTTGAAATAACACAAAAGGTTTACATAAATGATAAACCACAAATAAAGCTTAATAGCTACCACTGCAGCAAAAAGCGATATATTAATTTTAAATATTCTTTATGTTAAAGATGCCGAATTTAGGCAATTTTGTTTAAATATTTAATTTTGGTTATGCTATGACCAAATTTTGTTCGCATACTCCTGTTAATTATTGGTAAGTAAAAAATCCAAATGGTTTGTAAGAGTTTATGTGGTACGTTTTGTGACTACAGAGTGGTATAAGAAAGAGGGCATTAAAATGAAGATTGACAAAAAGAAGAGGACAGTGAGTCTTGTAGGGGAATCACAGGAAGAGGATACAAGATATAAAGATGTGTGGTTGCGCTTCCAGAATGATTTCCCGATTCCAGAGGATTGTGACATGGAAAAAATTAGTTATGATGATGCTGGCAAGTTCATCAGAATTCAGATGCCAATCATTCCCAACAAAACCCAGAGACCTAATACCCATGATGATGATGATGATGATGATGAGAGCCAAAGGATAGCCTCAATGCCCCAGGAACCTGATCATGGAAATGAATATAACACACCCAAGATGACCACTAATGATCAAGGTGGTATTGTTGAGGAGCCTGATCATAAAAATGAATTTACCACACCCATGATGATGACAAATGATGTTCAAGGTGGTGTTCTTGAGAGGAGACAGAAAAAGAAGCCACTACTCATCGGAACTACTCTCTTAATAGCTGCCTTTATTAGTTTGCTTGTGGCTCATACTTATGACCATATTGTATGGATGATTTATAAGAAACTAGGCTAATCAAGCATTCAAATGCATGCCTTCATCGATCCATTTCACATATATATAGAGAAAGAGTAATGATCACCTCATGGACGGGGAGTCGGGAACCACAATCCAAACTTGTCAATTTGAGGGGCTTTGGGTGGAATTATTAGATGAAGTTTTGTGAACAAGTTCTTTAATAAATTTAATCTAAGAACATGCTCAAAACTTTCATAAAAAAATTCTACCTGAAAGCACCTCAAATTGACAAGTTCGGACGGTGGCTCCCGTCGAACTATCTGACACGATCATTACTCTCCCTGGCCCCTGCATGTGTGAGTGGGGGGGGCTATTGCGTTTAATTCCGAGTTACCTCAATTGTAACATAGTGAATGTTCACAAGAATAAGTATTGAAGTGTATGTATTGCATTTCTATGTCGACTAAAGTCATTCATTATTAATATGATCCTTCCTAAATAAACCTAATATAAACACCAAATATCTCCTTATATATCGTATATGTATAATATAATATGTTGAGAACCTGTGTGACTTGAAATTATTCCATTTAACTTTTCTAGAATGGCTTAAAATTATGTTACGTTCTTTAACGTCTCACGTGTTGAGTCCTAAATTAAAAGGTAATAAACATAAATGGGAAAGAGCTTCAGCTCTACAAATCAATTTCATAATTACAAAGAAATTGAACTATGAATATACAATATGTAACACTCCCTCAGTTCCACAAAACTTGATCACATTAGGTCCTTTTAATTTAATTTAGTCTCTTTTTGTCTAATTTCAAGTTAGGTCTTATTTTTTCCAACTTATAAAGCTAGTAGTCACTACAAAAAAACACGCGTCTAGTCACGGACCGTAGTCACGGATTTAGTCCGTGACTAGTTTTGTCACGGACTAGTCACGGACTAGTCACGGATATTTTAAAAAAAAATTAGTCACGGATCTGGCCGTGACTATGACCGTGACTAAATTTAATTAGTCACGGTCCGATCCGTGACTAAAATGGTCTGATAGCTCCGATTCCGTTTCCGACATAGTTTATTTTATCCCGGTGACTTAGTCACGGATAAATCCGTGACTATTAAAAAAATTTAATTTTCCAACTCCCAGAAATTACTTCACAACGGCATTGTGTACCGATAAAAGTAGTCACGGACATATCCGTGACTAATTCTGTCACTAAATTTAGTAAAATTATTCGCGATCGTCATTTGCACGTCACTTACACGGTTTGGACGCGTAGTGTACACGGTTTTGCTTAGTGACGGACAAATCCGTGACTAAGTCCGTGACTAAATTTTTTATATATCCGGGACCAACTCATTCAACAGAACCACACCAATTCATTCCCAGTACTATATAATACAGTATCTGTTTCAAATATCGAAGGATGTAGTCTATCTTATGTCATTTTCCCTGTTTATGCAGATAAGGTATGTTATTTGAATTATTACTTTTATTTAGAATTAGTTGGTTCAATTTAATAAACGTAGTGATGTCATAAAATTTGTTAAGGTTTACAAAATAATTTAATTAAAATTAGTTAGCTAAACGTAGGTTTAAACGTAGTTATGTGTTAATTAAGTTAAATTAGTTAGCTAAACGTAGGTTTAAACGTAATGATGCGTTAAGTAAAATTAATTAGTTAAATTAGTATGTATGTATGTATGTATGTATGTATGTATGTATGTATGTATGTATGTATGTATGTATGTATGTATGTATGTATGTATGTATGTATGTATGTATGCATGCATGCATGCATGCATGTATGTATGTATGGAGGGCAGTTCACATCAGGAGTTCCTGATGAGAAGCCCCGTGCGGACAAGACCATCAGAGGGTCTTCCCGGTGGAATTTTTTGATGAAATTTTTTGAGCATGTTCTTCATCAAGACTAGTTTGTCCATACTAAATTTCAGCTCAAAATTCGATCGGGAAGGCAGTCAAATAAATCCTGGAAAACTATGGCTCATTCTGCGCACATATAAAGTGCAGTATGTTTCCCGGATTTATTTGACTGCCTCCCCGATTGAATTTTGAGCTGAAATTTGGTATGGACAAACTAGACTTGATGAGGAACATGCTCAAAAAATTTCATCAAAAAGTTCCACCGGGAAGACCCTGTGTGTGTGTGTGTGTGTGTGTGTGTGTGTGTGTGTGTGTGTGTGTGTGTGTGTGTGTGTGTGTGTGTGTGTGTGTGTGTGTGTGTGTGTGTGTGTGTGTGTGTCAGGACCGTCCGGAAACGAACCTCCGTACGGACCTCGACGTTTGGGCCCGTTCCCGGTGGAAGTTTTTGATGAAATTTTTTGAGCATGTTCTTCATCAAGTCTAGTTTGTCCATACCAAATTTCAGCTAACAATTCAATCGGGGAGGTAGTCAAATAATTTTAGGAAGATAATTGCGCCAAAATATACATTTAAAAACGCAGTTATATTCACAAAAATCATTTGACTGCCTGCCCGATTGAATTTTTTGCTAACATTTCAATACGGAGAGAGTATTATTACTATTATTATTATTATCATTATTATTATTATTAGGGAAAATGATCAGATAAGACCTACTAATATCTTTAATTCGTCACTTAAACCTCTATACCTAAAAGTGTCATATAAGTACGCTTACTTTTAAAAATTAATCAATTTGACCATTTAATTCGTTTCTGACCTGCAATAGCATGTTTTTATATTAAAAATATTTGAAGAAATATAGATAAAAATTGTGAAAATTTTTGGAATGTCAAAGTTGATATTTATTGAATTTTTGAAATTATTTTATATTCTAAATCTATTCAAAAGGTTTTTACATTTTTATGTTATGTTATTTACATTTTAACTTTATTTTTTAATTTTCTAATTTTTTAATTTATTTTAACGTTCTTATGTTATTTATCTATTTTTACATTTATACTATTTTTTATATACTTAGTACATTATTTACAAATTTAAATGAATTTTATATGAGTTATCAATAATCCTGATTCATTTTTAAAAAAATTGTTATAGCAAATCAAAATGACTTGATTAATTGTATTTTAAAATTAAACGTACTTATATGATGGACTTAATAGAAGGATTTAAGTGGTGAATTGGAAATGATAAAAAAGTCGATCATTTTTTGTTATTATTATTAGGGATTTATTACAACAACACCAACAATTACAAAGCTTAATAAAAGTCGTAAAGATGTTCAATTCACATATGGATAATACCTGCATGCTACACATCTTAAAGATCAATTCGTTTAGAGGTGAGTTTCTTCATGTCTTGATGTGATCGTCTATGTATATATTATCGGTCTGATCTCCGCCGCGCAACACCACCGTTTACGGCGCCACAAAGCTAGAGCCAGCAAAAACCGGGCGGCAGCATAGCATGCACATGGGAGATTATCCACCAAAATCGCCCAGGACGACAAACTTTTATTACCACATTCTGGGCATCTCCAAAACTGCGTCACTTGCAGACATTTGCAAGGCCTACAAATGCCTTGCCCGGAAATGGCACCCTGACCGGAATTCCTCCAACCGGGACGAAGCCCAGGCCAAGTTTACCTCCATTAATGAGGCCTATAGGGTACGTACGTACGTATATCATCATCAATTCATTTATCTTATTCAGGGCCGTCTAATGAATTTGGAGGTTCGAGTTTCAAATGTAAAATTGAAGCCCGGACACATTGGTGTTCTTCGGGGCCGTCTAATGAATTTACCTACATTAATGATTTATCTAATTGCTTCCATTGCATGCAGGGTAGCTAGCTCGACAATGACAAATATATAATTTAATCCATTATATCTTCTTCTTCCATTCTTTGAAAAGATTTTTTGGATTGGATTGGATTGAGTTAAATGTAATTAATTAATTACCTGGTTAATATAATGCTTATTAGTTAATGTTATCTAAACCCTACCTGATTTGTGTGTGTGGCGATTAAATTTAGGTTCTTAGTATGAAAAAGAGGGAAGAAGCGTGTAACACGACGTCGTTGACGTCGGACGTTGAAGACGACAAGACACCGAAAAACACGGAGCGCGGAACAACGGCCAAGGTATCTTCTAATAATCAAGACGGGGGAGAAGAAGAAGAGTTTGTGATTTCCAGCCCGAGGCTCCTGTCTCGGACAACGAGCCGGATTGTGCCACCGGAGGTCAGCCAGAAAATGTCGAAGAGCGGGAGTCGGAGGGGCAGGACGCCGACGCCGACGCCGACGCCGATGGACTTTTACGCGCACATGCAAAGATCTACGTCGACTTCTTGCGGCGGGGCGAACGCCCCTTCGTCATCATCATATTCGTCGGCGCCTTCTACGCCGACAATGGCGGACCCGGCGTTTCTTTCGAAAATTGCGAGCAAAAGAAACAACGTGCCACCCATAATTTTCTCGCAGTCAATTGCTCGGAGAAAGCCGCCACCGGTGGAGAAGAAGCTGGAGTGCACGCTTGAGGAGCTTTGCCATGGACGTGTTAAGGTGGTCAAGATTACAAGAGAGGTCATCTCCAACACTGGGTACGTACAAATATCGGAGTTTTTTTTTTAAAATTATGATTGTGCCATAAAAACCCTCAATCAATTGTAATTAGGATTTAGGAAGTACCGAGTATTAAGTATTAACTATAGCTAGGAAATTTCCTTGCATTTTAAGAGTACTAATTAAATGGGAAGTACACATTAGAGGATAAATAAATATTATGATTGCAGATTGCTCTATGTTATTATTATTAACGTTTTCACTCACCAGCCAGCAAGCAAAGTACAAACTCGTAATAATAAAGTTTGTTACATAAGTCGAAACTCGAAAAAATGATTTAACCAAAATCGCTTAATTTATGGCAGGCTAATAGTTGAAGAGGAGGAGTACGTGACAATCGTGGTGAAGCCGGGATGGAAAAAGGGAACAAAGATCACATTTGAAGGGAAGGGAGACGAGAAGCCGGGAATGCTCCCGGCCGACATCACCTTTGTGATTGAAGAAAAGAGACACCCAATCTTCAAGCGGGAAGGTGATGATTTGGTGTTAGGGGTTGAAATCCCTTTGGTTCAAGCTCTCACCGGGTGCACCATAACCGTACCGTTGTTGGGTGGTGAGAATATGACCCTCAACCTGAACAATGAAGATGTCATATATCCCGGATATGAGACGACCATCCCGGGCCATGGAATGCCGAAACCCAAGAGTCTTGATGGTGAGAAAGGTGACCTTAGGCTGAAGTTTCTGGTGGAGTTTCCTACCCATTTGAGTGATGAGCAGAGAGCAGAAGTTTCCCGGATACTATTCCAGGATTGATTGTTCTTCAGACTCCCAGCTGTACCAAGTATACCTGTATACTTATTATGGTTGTTGAAATGTGTTATGAATTTGTGCAAATATCGTTTGTTTTAGACTTTTAGGTGATGGAAAAGTTATTTCCTTTGTTTAAAATGCATATAATTTATTCTTGTAATTTGATTTGTTTACCATCTAATATCACCCAACTCAGAGTCATTCCAAATATTATAATTATAATAATGATTCACACGATTCTATCCTGGCTTCTCCATTTTAGTTAACAAAGAAAGAAGGTAAATTCAATGAAAATTGATACAAAACAATTTTTATTCAGCTAAGATAAAGAAAAAAACATCACTATATTACAAGGGCAAGAAGTATAACCATCAATGGTTTACTACCTTCGTTCCAAAAGACGAGTCAATGATTCAGCCATTATTCTAAACAGAGTTAATAACGAACTGAATCCTATTTGGCTATTTGCTATTATGGTCGACATTTTTTATTAAAAATTTAGGATTTATTTAGCACTTGCTAATGAATTTAAACCCAAATTAGCCATTATTCATATTGGTTCTATGTAAAAACAATTCCATGTCCATGAGCTCAATTTTGATTCATTTCCAAACTCAATTTGGTTCTGAGTTGTGTATAATGGATATATGAATAATGAATGGAACACATAATTTAAACGAATGCTTTTATGTCTGCCTCAATCAATGAATGTTTGAAGATCACACATTCACACATGAACGAAAGATTTACACACTTATTAATTTTAACAAATATAAATATAGAACTATCAACAACCTCATAAAACCCTCAGAAAAGAGACCATGTGCTAATGTACTAAACACACATCAAGAAGAAAAGAAAGAATGAATTTTAAAAAAAATGTCGTATCAAAACTGGCAATCAAGAACAGCTCCACGTAAGAAAACCCGAGACAGCTGAAATAGAGAAAACGAAGCCAGCAAAAAGAATAAATACAAATTCTGGTTGTCAAATATAAATTTTATTGCATATCAATTAAAGTCAATGGAACGGTAGCTCACTAACAAGTTATTGTATCGTATCTAAAATACATATGATTAGTGCATTATTTCATCATTTATGTATGTTCAAACTACTCAATTATAATATTTTGATGGATCCATGCGGACAAGGTACGATCACTGTTCTAAAAATCGCTCTAGGCGTCCGACTAGTCCCCGCCTAGGTGCTAGGCGGTGGCCGGGCACCCCGATTTTAGTCTAGGCGCTCCGACTAATTGATTTCCCGCCTAGGTGAATTAGTCCAGTTCGTATACCATGCAACCGTCCCACGGTGCGCATGGTATACCCGGGAGAGCGAAGAAGCAGTTCGTATATTTTGGCTTTGTTATTTTTTATTTCTCCTTTTTTTAAAAATGTTAATATTTTTTTTATTTTGATCAGATTTTTATAAAATTTATATCAAATTTTTTTATTTTTCATGATCTTTCAAATGAGACCAATATTGCCTATGTAATTTTAACATATTACCATTTACGTGTAAAAATATGTAACTTTACGTGTTAAAATATGTAACTCACGTTCAGTCAAGCCAAATGCAACTCGTGTGTATAAATATGTAACTCTACGTGTAAAAATATGTAACTTTACGTAAAAAAATATGTAACTCGCGTTGAGACAGGTCAAATGCAACTCGTGTGTATAAATATATAACTCGCGTGTATAAATATGTAACTTTACGTGTACAAATATGTAACTTTACGTGTAAATATATGTAACTCGCGTTCAGGCAGGTCAAATGCAACTCGTGTGTATATATATGTAACTCGCGTGTAGAAATATGTAACTTTACGTGTAAAAATATGTAACTCGCATGTATAAATACATAATACAATAAATTTTTTATATACACAATTTTAAGATAAATTGTGGATTACACAATTATTTTTCTGTATTAAATTTAGTTCGATTTTCCTTATAATCCAATACTCATTAATATAATAGTTCGATAATTTCTTAAAATTACATAAGCAATATTGGTCTCATTTGAAAGATCATGAAAAATAAAAAATGTTGATATAAATTTTATAAAAATCGGATCAAAAATAAAAAAGTTATTACCATTTTTTAACAACAAAGCAATAAAAAATAAAGAAACCAGCACAATACTCCGTCGTTTTGCAACCGGGCGCACCATCCTCATGGTGCGCCGGTTGCACGATATAATTTGCGGAATTAGTCAGCCGCCTAAGGCGCTTAGTTGTCCGCCCAGAACGCTTAATCGGCCGCCTAGGCATCTAAATTTGTCAAATATTTTATTTTGCTTTTTAGTATTCTAAGAGATATATGCACCTTAATCTTTAACAACGCATATGAAGAAAGCTACTAATTGTATCATAAGTTCAAAATTAGGGTATACATGTTTATATATAATCTTAACTTTTATTATTATTTAATGATATTTATTACATAATGAAGTTAAATGAGTACGTATAATACATTATTAAATATGACAACTCGATCATTCATGCATGTTAATGTGTATATATATTCTTTATTTACACACACAAACACAACATTACTAATCATATTTATGAAACAATATTGATAAAACTATAATATCTATGTCTCCGACTAGTCCCCGCCTAGGCGCCCGCCTAGGCACTAGGCGCTGGGCTGGCGCCCGACTAGCGCCTTTTAGAACATTGGGTACGATACTTTAGAGGTACCGTACAAATTGCCATAAATTAATAGGTGTACAGTGTACGTGTACTTTGTTCTTAGCATCAACAATTGAGCGTTTGGATTGCATCAAATTGAGATGGAAGATGGAAGGACTACATTGCATAATCCCAAATATTTCAGGGACCAAAATAGTGATCTTATCTTCAATGAATGAATGAAGCATCTAAATGCATACCTGTATAAACCTGGTTGTGTGATATAATGCAAAAGACATAGTTTACAGGTGCCCCCAACTGGCCTCAGCTTTTAGAGGAAATTGCAGCAAGGGCATTAGCATGTGCAGGAGAAAGGTTGCCCAAAAGAGGCTGCATTTGGTGACCATAAAGGGTAAACAAGTGAGAGAATGCTCTGCCAACATGAGCCTTGACCTCAGGGGTTTCAACTGGAGAAACGGCCACCTGTGCGAAAAGGTTTACCAATTGCGGAACTAAGGCCAGGATCTGGATAATGAAAGGAAAACAAGATGTTACAAACAAGGGTAAATAAGAGTAATTCAGGTAAGACTGAAGAGAAAGGGAGAACGAGTACATGGGAGTTGGATGATAAAACCAGACTACAGATGCAGCTATATACGACCACTGATTCCTCGTGATCCTCTTTAAGGGGAAGCACTTTCAAGAAAACAGGTAGCACCTATAATTAAAAACACAGTTTTAGAAAGAAAAAACACTATCAGGATGAAATGCAAGAAAGAAAAAGGCAAAAGATGTAAACCTGATCCAACGGGATTGATTCTGGGTGCGCCATAATCATCCTAGCTACTGCACCTGCAGCATTGTCTCTAACTGCATGATCTGGCTCTGACTCTCCAAATAATGGGTATAGGCCACGCAAGATTTCTCCGTAGTATCTAGCACGGATGTAGCAAGAACAGTGTGGAAGATTGAAAAGTCTCACCCACCCATCCAAAAAAGAAAAAGGGAAATGAAATTGGAAAGAAAAGACGGTGACAATGTGGCATACTGGCATATAAAAAGAATGCGAGTATCAAGTGAGTGAATCGAGGTGTAAGCCCTGGATGGTGTTTTGTGAGGCTAAATTTTAAATCAGTCTTGGCTTAAAACTTCTATTCAGAAGTTATATTGGATCAATTATTTTTCATTAATTAGTCTCTAAGCAAAGCAAAAGCCCTAAAACCTATTTGCTGAAGTCAACAATCATCTTCAGCTCTTCACACAACTCTAATTATAAAGTTCACTTGCTTCACTAATCTACCAATTTCTCCTCAATCCTGCGCAAGTATGAAAAGTCATGGAGAGCAGCGCATAGGCACTAAGCTACTACTGCTACTCTTCTCTTCCCCTTTTATCCTTTTGATATGAACAATCACATTCAAATTGCCCCTAAAAATAAATATATTTGGCAATTTCTTCTATTTAGGACAAAAATTCATAAAACATTCCCTTCAAAAATTTACTTATGACATGATATTTGAGGCTTACGTCTTAAACCCCTAAATATGACTTCTGTTTTTACGTGGGAAGTTATGTAAAAAATTGAGGCTTAGGCCTTAAACGTCCTTAAAGCTTAAGGCTTAAAAGCAACTTTGCGAAGATACTGCTTGCCCAAGTGGTGTGGCTTAAATTACTTAAAGTGCTTTACTGAAAAACGTGCCCATTCGGGATGGCTTTTGGTACACATAAAGCCCCTTCCTCAAATGCTTAAAGCAATGCATTGATGTTATTATTGCCCAAATTAATGCTTTTTAGAAAAGAAATTATTTGGAAGAGTGTTTTTTGTTCATAAGCACTGGATTGGGAGTGGTTTTTACTGTAATAAGCATTTTTATTTTCATGTAAAAAACTTCTTTTCAGCATAAATGTGTTTTACTTCCCATTCATAGCACTTGCTCCTTGAAACTAAGTAAACCCTGTACCCCCTCTCTACAAAAGAAACTCAAGAAGAGACCAAGGATACTTCAAAGCAGACTCGCCACCATTTTTGCACATTTCCCCAGCACAAAAAGCAGCATTTCTGCGGTTCGTTGGCTCTGGAGATGCTAATTCCTTGAGTACAAGTGGCATCACAGCCTGAAGCACAATACAATAATCAGAACTGATGACAAATGTGTGAAAAAATGTAGAAAGTCGATAAAGATAAAAAGATTTTCTGTGTAAATAGAAAACTGTTGGTTAGATTTACATCAGTATAAATAGCGATCGGAGCACCCATATGCTGAGCGACTTCAGCAAGGCTTGCAACAACCATAGTCCGATCTTGAGGAGGACGAGCTGCTCTCTGCAATCACAAAAAAGTATATTGTATTAAAGAGTTCATATTTTATATGGACCCGTGAGGCCGTGTCTATAGACTTTCTTCAAGAATCAATTTGGTTTGTGAATCAACTAGGCTCAATTTAGTTTTCATGCATATTTTACTCAAATAATTATTAAAAAGAGTATTTGCATGCGCTAAAAACCAAGTCATGTCAAAATTTAGTGAAACACAAATATGTCCTGATTAAGAACCAAATTTATGAAGGCAAAATAGTCCAAATCTTATAGTCGATGACCAAATTAAGACTGATAAAAACTTAAGGATCAAATTGAATAATATAGTTAGTTAAGTAGAGGGACTAAATCTGGTATAGACATTGTACTCAATCATAACATAGTTGAAAATTCTCAATGGAAGGGAAATACACAGCATGGAGATATTGTTGAATTACCGCAAACTTCATCAATGGATCATACATCTTTGAAAATACAGGAGCAAACTGAGAACCCATTGCCTTGGCAAAGGCTGGAAGGAGATCTGAAACAGCATCCATAAGCACTTCATCGTGTGAAGTGTCATCATCATCCACCTCACTGTCTGAATCAATTATCTGACAAGCAGACTGCTCATTTAACAGCACCAAGGTCGCCTTAACAATCTCATCAATGACTGCAGTTAAAATAGAATTATGAAACACAGTTTATAAGTTTTTTAAGAGAAAAGGATGAATTTAAAAAAGGGGTTAAATTAAATTATCTATTTACATGGCTCGACAGTTAAATATCCGAAATCCTTCATAATGTCAGCAATGCCCATACAAGCTTGAGCAACAACTTCCTTGTCGTCGTCATCAGTCATTGCCTTGATATAGATACCCATTATAGCAGCTGCCAACAAGTTATAAATGCAAAGAGTAATTACAGTAGCAATGATTTAAATGCTAGATATTGACCAATGGAGGAATCACATCTCACCAAGCACTGTGTTTGCTTTCAAAGTCCCTTCCTGCAATAAAAGGAACAAAAACAGATGATGTATCACCAGAAACAACACCATACAAATTGAAAAATAACACAACTACTTGGGAAAAGATCGTTGCATATATGAATTTCCAACAAACTAAGCAAAACGGATTTGACAGATTATCCAACATAAAGTGCTTCAACAGGAGAGCAAAATGAAGATCTACTCATGTAGTCATGTATAATATAAGCATAGAGAATCAATTGAAGGGACATGGTTTAAGAGCATCACTTTTCACTCACATTTTGATCTTGGGCAATTGCATGGGTTGCTGTCAAAACATCTGAAAAAAAAGGTAGATACGTTGACCATTAGTCAGTGTTCTAAAATTCTCTCATAGTTGTTACGGCAGGGTTTTGCGGCGCGGCGCCTTTGGACTGCCATACCGCCATGGCGATATGGCGCCCGTCGTGGCGGAGTCGCGGCGATAAGTCGACATATACACTATTAAATTCATAATATGTTTTACATACTAAAAAGCCTAGGCCCTACATGCAAGTCAACACTACTAATGAAGTAATAAAACATGTAATAATAGAAATAACATAATTCATAAGACCATAACCATAAGCCGATAGTCATTATCCATAAAATTGTTTTCATAAAATTGAAACTTTTCTTAAAATGGTAAATAGTACAATACTAACTTTTCAAAAACTTTTTGACTTCGTGTAAAACATTACAGTCCATCACAACATTAAATACAACATTAAATTCAAAGCATTCAACAAAATATTAAATACAAAGTTTTTTTGAGAAATATTAAATACGGAGTACAAAGTTAATATACAAAGTTGGATGATTTTACACCCAAGCACCCAACTGGAGTAATTACTAAAAAAAATACGAATAACATACCCACACTAAAGTTAACAGTCGCAGTCCAGAAAAAATTGAGGCACATAAAACTGCGGACCATTTTTCTTGAGTGAGCGACTACAAGCGATTGAGCTATTAAAGCGACTTAGCCAGCGACTCTACCTGGCGGAAGATTCAGCGTGCGGACCATTGAAGACGGAAGGGAAGCTGGACCTCAGATGGGACTATGCGTTTGGAAAGTCGTCGAGTGGCATAGGTCTGGTTTATTTTATTTGATGGGTTCAAAAAATTTGGGTTTGGGTTTGGGCCTGTTCAAATAAGTACGTCCTGGCCTCCTGGGTCGTCGTATAGGCGTCTATGGCGTTTTCCGACGCCAAACGGTTTATGGCGTGTCGACAGCACATGGCGACCCTATCTTAGCGCCACAACGATATTGCGACGATAAGGCGACGCCATGACAACTATGAATTCTCTATTTACTGAATTACTGGTCAGGTGCCAGCCCAGAGCTTATCATATTTTTGTAATAAAGATGATAAAAATTGTATCCATGTATATCATTATTCGTGAATGAATAAGTAATAGGATGTAAAAATAGTTTACAGTCTACCACTTGGATTAATTTAGTTAGATTAACTAACATCACACACGATAAATATGTGTGAGGTACTGAAGTAGCATATGCACTTAGTTGTAGTCTTACGTCAACTGGTAGCAACCTTAGCTTGCATACTTGTGATTGCGTGATTTCTTTGTTTTAAATGCTAGCACAATTTGCCCCACATTGGAACTCCAAGTATACAATAGATGCACCTTCCCAGTCTTTCTAAAGTAGGCATTTCCCAGTTCCCACTCCCTAGTGAATAGATGGCTGCCTAATACTTTCAGAGCCCAGAAGCTTTACTGGTTAATCAGTCTGAATTCCGGGTTTTCATTGCAGAAAAGTGATGTCTAGCATCACTAAACCAAATATTGCAATACTCTTAATCAAATATGCATGAGTTAGAAAATTAGGTGTGGCTCCGTTTAGGTAGAAGACGATGAGGTGGACAAGTCTAGACTTCTAGTATATGTTATGTGATACGTAGAAAACAAATGCTCTCAAAGATACTAGAGAAAATTTATTCAAATAACCCAAACTATGGGATGTGGGAACTAAGCACCTCAAGTTACTTGAATTACTGTTTTCCAGGATAATATGAACATCATACGAAGAAACTTAAATACAACAAAATGCATAGAAAATCTGTGAACAAATGTGTATATGTACACAGGAAATAGTTGCCACTTACGCTTGAGACCAATAGTTGCCTGCAGACGAACATCCTCGTGAAAGTATGAAGAATGCTTTACCATAATCCTCAATGTTTCTTGCAAGTATCTTTAAACATATTAAGGAATTCAAAGGCCAATATTTTTTTCCTCATCTCTCTTTTTATCCCAATAGTAGTCTGTAACTCTATAGATTTGAAACAGTAATATTAGTGGAAAAAGGGATACGGTGCATAATGTTTCTTTGTGTGTAGCGCAAATAGGCCAAGGGCTTGAGTGGCAGCTGCCTTTTCATCCAATACACCTGTTCGTATGCTGATATTTCTAACTCTTGCTTCATCATGTGCTTCATCATCAGATGAAACCCCACCAAATCCATGAATATTCTCATCCCCATCAGAATCATCAACATCCACAGCAGAGCCGTCATCAAGGTTGCATGAGGAAAAGGCCAGATGAACAACATGAGGAAGATACTGTACAACAAAATAAAAGTGGTATGAGACTCTTTAGACAAGCACAGTAACCAACAGTGTGTATAAAAACCAAACAGAACATGAGCCAAGATTACCTGAGCAAACCCATCATCTAAGATTTCTGCTACATTACTGAAGAACCCATGAGTATATTCCCGAAGTTCACTAAATTCTAAGGAAAACCCCTGACAAAACAATATATTGGTAAGAGACATGTGTATTGAAGACTGTTAAAAGCCTGAAATGCAGAAAAGTTACGAAGTTCATTACAGAAATTGCAGCTTCAATGAAAGGAGGTAAAATGGACTCCATCCTTGTCCTTCCAGCAGACATTGCAACTATACCCACCAGTTCAGTGGCTCTTGCTCGTGAACAGAGATCTTCATCGTTGGTAAGCACCATGAAATTCTTCATCAACTCCAAAACTGGCTGCGCATACGGAACAAATGCTTCTTCTGCAGCTGATGCAACTGAACCAATGGCAGACTGCGGCAACATGCAGAGTATATGAATACAGAAAGGAGACCATACCAATATATAAAAATAGGTAAAATAACAATAACAATTACAATACCATGCATGTCTCTTGTAGGTTACGGGGGCTGTTTTGCAGACAATGAAGCAATTTTCCCATCAAAGGATCCAGAAAAGGAAGAATCTCTTCACCCATATTCTCACAGAATGCTGCCAGAGCATAATATGACTTTTCCTGCACGGGCATTTTATCTTTGAAAATTAAAAAACTGTATACCATGAAAATGAACAAAACTGAACGGAACATATTTGGAAGAGCAAAACCACACCTTAACTTCATCAGATACATCCTCGATGGCATTTAAAATGCAAGGAAGAACGCTTTCATAGTGAGACACTATCTCCGGTTGAAGGTGCTCAGCAAATTGGCCCATTGCAAATGAAGCTGCACCTCTCACCACTTGCTCAGGATCTCTAAGGGCCCCTCCTACAACCTGAAGAATAGGGGCCAGCTTACTTTTCATGAGCTCGGAACAACCTTCTGATATAACACCCAGAGACGTGACTGAAGCTTCTCTAAACTTCGGGTTTGGATTTTGGATGCTCACAGAAGCAAATTCAAAAACAGGTGGAAAAACGTGTTTAGGCAGGGTTATAGCAATGGTATCAATAACTTCTGCAGCAGCTCGATCTGGAGCAAGATCGTCATCTTCTTCCCTGTTTGTTGACTCTGCTAGCAATGGACACATAACTTGCAGAATCGGGGTGACAAGCTTGTACTTTTTCAGAGAATTGTGTTTATACTTCGCAAGCCATGATATTATTTGAATTGCCTAATAAATGAATTAAAGGATAAAAAGTCATACACCAACTGAAGCAGATTATTGATGAACGAACAAAGAGAATATTAGCATAATTGTGCAAGAAGAAAGAAAGTTCCATGTATCAACATAAGTTTTGGAAACAATAATAATCTTCCAACCTGATGCCTTGTATTGGATTCCAAGTTGAGGCTAGAGCAAACCTCCAGAGAAAACTGCACAATTGCCTTGACCGAATCTCCAAGAAGAGGTGCAGGAGATTCTATCAGCTCATCAAATATTTCAAAAGCCAATATGGCAACATCTTCATCACCAGAAGAAAGGCACTGTCTTGACACATTTAAAATACTGGGAATGAATTCCCGAAACTTCACCTGATAGCAGATGAATGCCAAATGGAGAATTAGAGTTCCACTGATAAATACTACCACATTCCATAAGTACAGGAAGATTTTCACACATTAAAGTGACATGCAGGACAAATATTTTTTATGTTTCATGATTCTGCATGCTACGTAAGTGCAACTGCAACTACTAGAGAGTTGAATATTTCTTTCCAAGCATCATTTTTATCATCAGTGTACAGTTATGTAAATTCTATACTGAAAGATGAACATATGGGCACAGTTGGCATCAAATATGGAAAAGCTAAAACATCTCACCACTTCATCCTGATCATGAGTGAACTCTAGAAAAGAGCCAACAGCCCTGTCAAAGAAATTCAATTCCAATTGGCATGAAATGTATTACTTTAAAGACTGATTACTATAATCAATTAGAAACTATCAAAGACTGATTATTATTAATTGGATAAATGTATTACTTCAACGCAGCAACTCTAACGCGACTGCTAGTTTCATCTTGAAGGCATTTCAGCAGCAGTGACTGCAAGTTCATGAAATGTGGTTGAAATGAAGTCCCTATCGTTTCAGTTAAGGAGCTGAAAAGTATCAAAGCGACCTTCACAACACAGAGAACGAGAAGAGCATGGATTAGTCTATCGAAATGATTATTCATATAAATCAAGTGGTCCTGACATATGTCAAAGCACATGATGAATGAATACATACTTCTCTATGGTCTTCTTGATGACTTTGACTGCACTGAAATAAAAACGGCAGCAACTCAGGCCATTCCCCAGCAGGAACTGCATACTTTGCAATAATACTGACCACATTAGCACTAGCTCTCCGAACAGGTGAACTGCAATAATGATACAAAATTTGCATGAATTCACTAAATCGACTGATTAAAAATTGAGGAGATCGTGCATTTCTTTCTTAAATTGATAGCCACAAAACTGTACTCGTGAAATTTGGAAATTTAATGAGCATTGTGTTATTTGTGTGTGTATCTGAATTCATCAATGTGAGAGAAGGACATGAATTTTCCTTCAAAGAACGAAAATTTAAGTCATCAAGACTGGAAATTTGAACAAGAACTCACCTGTGCTCCACGGTGATGCTCTCTATTAATGACTGCTTGACGAGCTGTCGGAGCTCAGGAGTAAGCTTGCCCCAATGACCGGTGATCTTCTTGCGTAGCAGCACGGCGGCGAGCTGGCGGACGTTGGGCGTCTTTGCAGTACGCAGGTGTTCAGCTAGGACGGGGACAACCTGCGGATCCTTCGCGAGACGCTTTATCTGGTCCTCCGCCTGCCTCCTAGCGTCATTGTCCGGCATCAGAAACTGAATGAGCAACAGCTCCAATGACTGCGCCATCTCTTTCCGCTCAGCTCTCCGCCGGCGTCCCTCGACTGAGTTTGGCGAAGGTTCCCGACTTACTGGTTCTGCTTTGAGCCGATGGAAGAAAACGGCGCCTGGAGCATGGAGAGGGTTTTGGGGGTTAGTAGTCCCGGGAATATGTGATCACGCGCTACTCACGTGTGTAGGCTGGCACCCGGTTTGGTTACTCGTTTATTTGCAGATTGTGCCCATAGTTTTCGAACTGTGTAAATCCACCCCATGAATAAAATTTCAGACCCATTTATGGGAAATTATTCTGCCAATGGCCCAATAATCTCATTTACTAGATTAATTACACCACGCGTAGACCATTCAGGCATTCACGGAGTGTCTAGGATGTTTTCTTTTCGACTGTTTTCAGTCCCAAACTAGATTAGATCAAACCAAACCAGATCAGTTCAGACTTCCGTAGTTATAAAATACACAGAGACCAGACGTTTACCAGACCAAACCAAACCAGTTCAGACCAGACCAGTAAATTTCAGTCCAAAAGAAAATATTCTTGCACTTGTTTCTGTTTTAAGAGATTAATTTTTAACATGATTTTGAAACAAAGGTTTAATAATAAAAGTTTGTAGTGTTTCGAAAAAAAATGATTCTGAAGAACTAAAAATTAACAGTATTTGGTAAAATATGTGTTTTTTGTGTAATAAAAAAGGTAAAAAACAGTTTCTAGCTTTTAATTTTAAAATATTTAGTTTAAGCAAATGTTATTATCACTTAAAAACAAACTTTTCATCCTTTTTAAGTCAAAAACTGAAATTCATTTTTTAAATTTTTTTGCAAACATACCCTTAGCCGTGGTCTCATGAAACTGAGCCCGACCCACTACTCTACCATGTATGGAACATGAGCTAGCCTGGCCAACTATTTAAAGTTGGGCATGTGGTAAGATATTTGAAACTGAGCCCGACCCACTACTCTCTACCATGTCATGAGTCATTATGGTCCAACCTATTAATCACATTTTAGCCCAGCCCAAAAGCTCACTTGTACATTTTTTATTACTAAAATGTACATAGACACATAATTAGTAATACAGATTAAACATCTCATAGTTCGATGACATCATTATGACATTCATAAGGAGGTGGTCACATGGTCGAAACTTATCTCAGTTCAAATAGCATATATTACGGTAGGAATGTGAGTACATCAAAAAAGGTAATATAAAATCATAATATCTTTGTCATGTTCAAAGGTTCTCATTGCAAAATGGAATGATTATTTAGACAATAATTAAATACGAAGTATGTGATTCAAATATATTTTAAGAAACCATTTTGATGGGTATATAATATGATAAGTTATTGATCATAGTTGTAGTATTGTAGATGTATTACTTTTAATATTTGATGATTAAATTGTTAATTATATTTAAGAGTGTTAATTTTTTTTATAAAATTTAAGAGTGTTAATTATTTTCGAAAAAATATGAAGTTTTAAGTGAGACGTCCAAAAAGGAAAGTGTGGACTTTTGAATAAGATGGAGGGAGCAGAAGCATTATATAGTTTTTAAAACAAGATCTTAGTTGAATCTTAGTACAATTAGAGTATTGATTTTGTAAAAGAATTGATGAATTCTAGAGTACAAGCTAGAAAAAGAAACATTGGATCCAAACATAGAATATTTTACTTGTATTATTACATCAAGACCATTGCATAACTAATGCTATATTGAAGAGAATGAAATGCTTTCATCTCAATTTCAAGTATCCTTGCAAATACTTATAAGCCATAAATAAGTTCGAACTTTTATTTCATTAATACATTTTACTTGATTGATTATTACATTGTATTTCATGAATCATAAAAACATTTATACATTTTTTTAAGCCTATCGGGCCTAACCCTATTAGTGACATGTGGGCCGGAACGGGCCCTTTAGCCAAACCGTATAGATGGGGCAAAGATGCATTTGTATTAAAAGTCGAACCAGACTCATTAATTGATTCTTTATACTGAGCTTGGCCCGGTCCATATCCATTAGTTTTGAGCCGGTGTGGTGCAACCTAGCCCATTGATGATCCCTACATGCACGACACAAAAATTACTTTATTTAGATCTGTTTATATTTGAAATCATGGAATAAAAATGTATAGATATATAAAAATATATACTTCCAAAAACAAAGATATATATAAAAAATATGTAAAAGGTAATACATATATTAAAAAAGTTTATTGTCATGTGTATGTATTTAAAGCATAATATTTTCGACATTTAGTAAAAAGAAATAAATTTACAAACCATGTAAAACCTACAAATTTGGAAATACTTCTTTATAAACCCACACATGTAGTATGCACGAATTATTTATCCTTATCATTCCAAAGTTCTATGATGAGTACATTTATGAAGCTCTACGACTCCCCTTATAGAATCATGTGGAGTGTTGTGGCACCATCATCACCATCCATGCATGTTTGGAGTGGAGGATCCCACTAAAAATACGAGTGGTGATGATGGTGTCACAATACTTCATATGACTCCACAAGGGAGTCATATAAGTCTCTTTAATTTTGTTGTTGTAACTCATGGCAATGTAAGATGCAATTGACAATGATTAAGCATCAAGTTTATGAGTATGTTTGATGAGATTTGCATCTCATTTAGTAGCACATATATTTTGGGTTTATCGCTCTTAACACATTTATCAGCAAGTTTTTCACCAAACACGTAAAAAAAATTAACGTGCTGAATTGTAGTTACTTTTAAAAGTATCATTACTTCGATTTTGTCAAAATGGAAAAGACGGGTGTGGTTTGTGGAAGGAAATAAAAAATGAAACATTGATCTTCCATTTCACTTAAGAGAGTTGTACTGTGAAGAGAGTTAAATAATGCATGCATGCATACAATAAGTTGCTTATGATTTTTAATTGCTGAAATTATATAGAGTTATATTTATATACCTAATTGAAGTGGGTAACACCATAATTTGTATTTGTTGAAATTATAGAGCCGATACCTAATTGAAGCGAGCAGCATCGTGATTTTATTACACTTAAAGTCGTGAATTCCTCCCAACTACTTTTTATGTATTTCCTTTTGTCTTTGTATAATTTATATGATTGAAATTGTGTGAGGGTTGAAAATATATACTAACTCCATTTTTCAATTGCAACATTATTGAATATTACATTATTCAATATTCTACTTTGACTTCATTTTTTATTTACTAATGTATTTTAAATTTCATCTTTGGAAAAAAATCAAATCCTCTCATTTCAAATTTTCAAAATATGATTTTTTCCCGACATATTTACTAATAGCGATTTCAATATGTTAATGATCAAACTTGTGTGTTGGCAAACATGAAAATCGGAACATTGCAACAACAACAAAAATGGATGAAGTATATAGGTGTAGGAATATGTGTTTACATATGAGTTTATGTAAATTTCTCATGATCTAATTTGAGGGTGCGCATGTCGATTTAGGATGTTTTCTTTTGGACTAAAATTTTCTGGTCTGGTTTGATCTGGTTTGGTCTAGTCTGATAAATCTCTGGTCTCTGTGTATTTTATAACTACAAAAGTCAAGTCTGGTCTGGTCTGATCTGGTTTGGTCTGGTCTGAGACTGAAAATAGTCCAAAAGAAAACATCCGTATATGTATCATTTCAAATATGCATTTTTGTACAACTTAAAATGTACTATACTTTTGGTTGGATTAGTAGTTGCTGAAGAAATACTTCTTTGATAGCCTAAAAGTATATATACTTTTGATTATGATTGAGTTATTGGATGCCGAAAAATATCGTCTTTGATAGCCTAAAACCATACTTTTGATCGAGTTGTTTTGCTGCTAAAAAATGCACTCTTGGACATCCTAGAGTTGTAATTTTGTTTGAGCTATTGGTTGTTGAAAATTTGTGTTTTATGTGCTTTAAAGATGCAATTTACTTGAGAAATGAGCCGCTAAAACCCACTCTAAAGATGCAATGTGAAGTATTGTGAAACCATCATCATCACCACTCGTATTTCTAGTGGAATCCTCCACTGCAAACATGGATGGTGATGATGGTGCCACAACACTCCAGAATGCAAGTCCTAAAGATGATTTATCATGAATTGAGAATGCCATCTTAATGACATTTTCAAAAGAAAACATGAAATTTTGGAAGAATCAGAATGCCATATTGATGCCATTTTGAGAGTATAACTTGACATTTTGAACAAACAAAAAAGGGCAACACAGAACATCTCAATGTTTTCGCACCTGCACCAGAGAAAAGGAAGAGGAGGAGGAGGAGGAGGAGGAGGAGGAGGAGGAGGAGGAGGAGGAGGAGGAGGAGGAGAAGAAGAAGAAGGATGAGTGGAGGTATCGTCATGACTAACACCTCGAAGCTCGTCGATGAGGGCTTGCAACAGGAGATGATGAGTGGATGTATCGCCGCCACTCACCGCTCACCGCTCACCGTTAATTAACAAAGGAGATGGTAACAAATTAGAGAAGATGGTGACCAAATTATAGAAGATGTGAGTTGGTGAACACATTAGAGAAGATAGGTGAGGGAAGATCGTAAGAAGATTGACGATGTGCCATAAGTTGTTGCGAGCGAAGAAGATTGACGATGTGCTACCCCGTTGTCGTGCACGATTGAAAAATTAAAAAGGGTAATTTAGAGCCCAAGGTCTTATTTAAGGAATAAAAGTACACATACTCGAATTTTAGCAACAATTGAACCCTATCCAAGACAATAGCTCAATACAAATCTGTTACAATCATCTAAGTATGAGGAAACACAACTCACTTATCTAAATTTTATCTGTAGTCAGAAATCCCAGTCCTATGTGTTAAAGTCCCACACCGGAAAATTTGAATCAATTGAATGTTATATTAAGACATGAGCTACTCCTCCTATCAGGTTGCTAAATGGTGAAATCACGCATGCGACGAGTGTAGGAGATGTACATTTAAGCCCTGGAGTTACAATTAAAAATGTCCTCCATGTGCAAGGACTGAAATGTAACCTTATTTCCATAGCACGGCTAATCGATGACTTGAAATGTGATGTATATTTTACTGATGAAATTTGTGTGATACAGGACTGACCTACGAGGACGTGTGAGTAGACGGCGGGGGGGGGGGGGGGGGTACCATTTTCAAAGTCTAGATATGGCTCG